GACCTGCTGCCAACCTAACCTGACCCAGATCTGGGTCCCAAATCAACTCAGGGCCCACATCCGATGTTTAATTAGGAATTTAAACCTTAAGTAAACATGCAGCCAGGAACAGAAGAGCAGGAGGAGGAGGCATTGTGTTTACCTCCTCCCCTCCAAACTCAGTGTTTAATTAGGGTTTAAGACCCCTAATTAAACATATGGTCAGGAAGAAGAAGCAATAGAGTGTCTGGAGGCAGACAGAGAGGGATAAGGCAGCAGGGATATCAGGGTGGGGTGGAAGCGGCAGTGGAGCCAATCCAACACTCTGGCCACAACACCCACACCACACAGAGCTTCCTCCTGCCTCCCCCTTTTGATAAGTGTGTGGCATTGGAAAGCCAGGTAAGCAACGCTTCTCCTCCCATGCTGCCCCCTCAGTCACTGCAAGGCAGCCCTGCCAAACAATACTGCACATGTTTACTTGAAAGCAAGTCCCAGAGAATGAAGGGGGTTTGATTTCTAGTAAGAATGCATGTCTGTGTCCACTCCTCACCCCAGAGCTACCATCAGGGCCGTCTTAAGTATATCCGGCACCATGGTGCAAAGATCAATCTGCCCCTGTTTCCCAGAGTTGCCAACCTTTTTGCAGTGCTGCTGGCAGCTTTGCGAGGCTGGAGGAGGCGGGCAGCGGCTGGAGGGCCGCTCCTCCAGCGGGGAAGAGGCAGAGGCTCCGGGCACGGCGCTGCTTTGGCGCGGCATGGTGGAGGCGGGCAAGGGCAGCGAGCTGATGCCGGGGGGTGCCACGTCCAACCTCCGCCTCTTCCCTGACGCCCTCCAGAACTTGGCGCCCCGGCGCCCCGTGCCCCTTGCCTCTATGTCAGGGCTCAGCAAACTTTTTCAGCAGGGGGCCAGGCCACTGTCCCTCAGACCTTGTGGGGACCAGACTATAGTTTGAAAAAAAATATGAACGAATTCCTATGCCCCACAAATAACCCAGAGATGCATTTTAAATAAAAGGACACATTCTACTCATGTAAAAACACCAGGCAGGCCCCACAAATAACCCAGAGATGCATTTTAAATAAAAGGACACATTCTACTCATGTAAAAACATGCTGATTCTCGGACTGTCTGTGGGCCGGATTTAGAAGGCGATTGGGCCAGATCTGGCCCACGGGCCTTAGGTTGCCTACCCATGCTCTATGTTCAAGGTACCCCTGGATACCACCCTCCTTTTTCATAGCCCCAGGCTGATCTAGGGTCATCTCAATCTGATTCGCCCAAAGACTGGAACCATCCAAATTTGTTTCAGAATTCAGACCTCGGCTGAATCTGGTGCTTAGCTCTAGTGTTTTTGCTTTGAAAAGAAGAAAGCTGGCTTTTAGTACAGCAGGTGGAACCAGTTCAACGGATGGGTAAAACTGGAACGTATTTGGAAACCTCTTGCATGCACAAGCTTAAATTTGTTTGTAGAGAAGAAAGCATGGGCACTGTGTTGAGGAAACATATATTGGAAGGATCTGTGCTATTCAAAAGGTTTGGATAGGGGAAATTGTTTGATAAAGATCGATAAAGCTGAAGTCCAGGTAAACTTGTACTTTTTAAATTGTTGCAATCCACCTGGGATGTTATGGTGAAGGGTGAGTAAGAAATCAAATAAATACATAATATATATATAAGCACTTGCTTTAACCTATTGCCACCATGGGATAACTAAGCACCAGTTTAACACTCTGCCCTTGAAAACAATTTGGCATGAAAACGCTTAATATGAGCAGGGCTAACACATTTTTGCACCCACATCTTGTCACTCTCCTGTGGGAATGTCACTGCAACAAACTGAAGCAGTAGAAGAGAACCCACGGTTCATTTCAGTGGGGCAAGATTGAAGACATTTCCTATGTGCTGGTTCCTTTGCCTTTATCATTGCACATGCCTAGATTCTGCAGAAACCTCTCCTGCCAAGTTGTTTTGGTAAAGCCTCTCCTCCTTGCAGAGGGGAGGAGTTGTGAGCAGGAGCCATTTCCCGCATTGGCAGGGGGTAACATAATAATTTATTACGGCCGTAGGCCCATACAGATAAAAACAAGACATAAATAACAGTCTGTGCACATGGGAAAAAACAGCCACTAAAACACTACTATAACAATAAAATACTATAAGATGGAATGGCATACTACGCCTTAATTAGCTTGTGGTGCTCCTTGGCAACGCTTTTGGGTAAGGACAGCGACCAGGAACCTAGCCACTTTCAGGGTCGTATGGGTATCCTTATCCTGCAAGATTTGGGCAAGGTGGAATTTTGGTGGGGTACCCTCTAGTTTCTGTATGATTGATCCCAACAAATTTGCCCGTGGCACCTTGAATAAGGGGCAAGTGAACATAATGTGCTGAAGCGACTCTGGCGTCTCCTTATCACATTCGCACATGGCGGAGGCTTGGCCCTTTGAGAATCTATGTCTCAGGACATTGGAGGGGAAAACGTTAAACCTCGCTTTGGTGAAGGCCAGCCTATGGGCAACAGTCGAAAGGGAGGAGAGGTTGGCAGGGGGTGTTTCGGCCCCTGCCCAGCCATTCCAGCTGCCCCGCCATGCCCCCGGGTAGCCAACCAACCAGGTGGAGGCTTGGCGAGTCCTTGAATCACAATTGCTTTTCCCCACCCTCAACAGAAAGGTGTTGGAGTTCAAGCACAACCGGGAATAACACCATGGGCCTTGTCCACCAGTTCCCAGCTCTCTGGAAACTGGTGGTTGTGGTTAACCAACGGCAACAAGGACGCCCTTCTATGAAGAGTAGGACTCTTTCCAATAATGGGAGAGACACTGTTGCAGTGGCAGCCTCTGCTGGATGGGAGAGTCAATTTTCACTGACGCCCCATTCCCCTGTGAACTGCCCTGAAACCTTTGGCTATAGGATGGTATATTAATAATAATAATAATAATAATAATAATGACATGGGGTGGGTTCATTGCTGCTGGTTACCAAGAGAGAGAGGTGCACGGCAGCAGGGAGCTCAGCATGGTGTGGGCACACTGGTAGAGCCCATTCAACCCTCCTGCCACTGGGTCTGTACCAGGCCAAACTCCTGGTGCCTTCTCCCTCCTGCTCTTGGTAACTGGCACGATCACACTGCCAGCTATCACACTGCTATCTGCTACTGTCCCCCACACTAATTCAGAGGGTCCCTCAACCCTCCAGAAGAACATTCCATGGGTCACAGGCAGCTACAGTGAGAAGGAAGCATTGGTGACAATAATTTCCTCAATCCACTCATGGTTATTCTGGATCCGACCCATCGCATGCACTTCTTTGTGTCTCCATTGTTAATATTTTAAAATGTATCATTAGAGACAAGGTTGGATTTTGTTTTTTTAAAAAAGAGTAACATTGAACCTATTCACTTTTGCCTAACTATACATTAGTAAACTAATCAAGTCATCAATTTTTTAATGTCAAATCAAAGTCCTTAAGCAAGTTGAGTACAAATGGAAGGAGCATTGCAATATATTTCAGCTAATATAACATTTTAATGGAAATCTTCAGAGGCTTGGTGACAAATTGTAGGAAGTTATATACTCCTTTGGTTGAGGTTCAGTTCTAATTAGCAGTCATAAATGAAATCAATGGAATATTCCCCTGCTGATCATACTTTTCTGCAGACATAAATGCTCCTTTAGATTCAGGAAGGCAAAACGAGAAAAAGAAAGGCTCAAAACTGAAGTCTCGGAAATTAGCTATTTTTATTTAGACAGTCCCGTGGCATATAACTACAAGACTCTCTAAATAAAGCAAATGTAAGTTTCTCTACTGCTATAAAATAATATTAATAGCAGCAAAATTAAAGAGTTTGAGACATGGAAAAGGGACACCTAGGTTCTAATCTTCTTCTCTGAGCCTGGTCTTGGCTGGGGAGAGTGGGGTATAAATAAATAAATTATTATTATTATTATTATTATTATTATTATTATTATTATTATTATTATTATCATCATCATCAGACTCTATTCAGTTATTATCACTCAGCCTAATCCAGCACTTGAATTATGGAAGGAAGACAGAGGTCCCCTAATTATATCCTTAAATCACTCCCTGGTTTCACCCAATTTTAGGCAAATTGGCTCTTCCTGGAAGGGGACCATCACAAAATGTATGGAACTGAGTCTCCTACACACCTGAGCACTGATCATATGTACCTAACAGGGTAGTTAGGAGAGAACTGTGCAATAAAATGCACACCATCCACGACTTTCTTAGAGGAACAGTGTGAGACAAATCTGATAAATCAATCGATATGTGTGCACAATAATTTAATTACCAACACACCCCAAGTTGAAATGCAATGGCTCTCAATTTACCTGCCCATCATATACGTAACTTGAAATTTGCCATGACTGTAGGTAGCAAGAAGAATTTTAAGCCCACCAAAACTTAGAACATACCGAGTAGTGGGATTGAAATACTTTTCTAATATGGCAGCTTGGCACATATTCAGGATGTGGTTCTGAACACTGGAAGAAACATCTGTCCCAGCAGCCTGACCGAGCAATAGTTTATACTACCCAAAGTTCAAAACTGAACTCGGTGGAGATTTCTCTATTAGGGCAAAGAATAAAATGACTTTACAACACAATATTATTGTCAACAGCAAATGTTCAGGTGCTCATTCATTGCACAGACATACCCTTGCCATTCCTGGTATGAGTAACATCCTAAAGTAACAAGTTGATCAAACGGTGTTGCCATGGGAGGTACATGGAAATCCAACTAGAGAAGAGTTGGTTATTGTGGCCCCTGCAGATCTTGCTGGAGTATAACTCCCAACATTCCATTGGCTCTGCTGGCATTCACACATTAATTTTCATAACAATTCCCAGAAGAAGGAGATAAGGGTAAAAATATATATTTGGACTTACCACGGGCACATCCCTCCTCCCACTTTAAGGCCAAATCTCAGTTGTTGTTTTATTGTAAAACATATTACTGTGTGTGTCTTTTTTAAGCTATCAGAATAAAAGTAGTACCTGCAAAACAGAAGCACCGCTCTGAAGAAATTGCAAGCCACTCTCAGCTGAGTCAATGCCTCCTGTTGCCAGGATTGGAAACCCCGGAAGAGCATGAGCTATTGCAGAAACTGCTCGAAGGGCAATGGGTCTTATGGCATTTCCTGTACAGAGAAAGAATGAGTGTGCATTAGTGAGGCAGCAGGCAAGGAGGGTCACGGACTCTCAACTCCCCTCTTTCCTCTTCTCTCCAACCAGTCGCAGGCTTCATTTCCTATTCTGACACTTTCCCATGCTTGGAACCACCTCTTCATCTGTTATTTGTCCAGCCACACCTACCAACCAACCAACTCTCCTCCTCAGCATAGTTTTCCCTGGACTCCCGCAGAGTTGATGTGCAGACCTGGAAAACCTGTTCTGTTGACAGGGTGATTCTTTCTGGAAAATTCCAGAAATTTGGATGAGTTGCTAGAGAAAATCCTGTGTGTGTCTGAGGATCTACAGCCCTGTTCGGGTGTTGATAAGACTGTGGAGGGCACAGTGGACACACAATCTTGGTATGGGAAGGTCGACGTTGGAGTGGCCAGGAGTGGCACATGTAGCCCTACAAAAGTCTGTCTTCATCTCTATATTTATTATTATTAACCACAATCCTTATTTTAATTAGAAGCATTTATGGACCACTTAATCATAAACTCTCTAAGCAGTGCATATATTAAATTTATCTATTTATTTAGAAAGATGTCTAGGACACCGGACCAGAAACCTCTCTAAGTTTATAGTACATCACTTATATGTATAAACACGTGAGTATAATAATGCATATACTATGAAAGAACTGTTCATTTTTAAAGTGCAACCAGTAAAAAAAAACCCAACATGTTCTTGTCAATATCAAGAAGTGAGACAAGGCTTAGCAAAGAACCATGAAGGTCAACTTGCTTTTGATTTTTTTCAGAAATTTGTTTTTACTAACTATAGTTTATTTGGGGGTCTTGAGCTCAGACATAAAGAGGAATTCTGGTCAATTTAAAAACAGAAGGGAAAGCTTCTGATCTCTTGGGTGGAGGAACCCGAATCAGATTCATGCTCACCATAGAGTTATGCATGAAAAGGCCAAGCAACATGGGGAAAGTCACCCAGTAAGGTTGAATGGGGATTTGCACCTGGATCTCCCAACCCTAGTCTGAAGCTGCAGCTACTGCAGCACAATGAGCGTCACCTTTCTTGACCTTGTGCTATGTCTGGCTCTGTATAAACACTGCACACAAGACAGCAAGAGTAGGTTACATTTTAAGGGAAACTGGCATAATAATGCAAATGCTTTATGGGGCACACTTGTTGCACCAAGCTTGCCGCAAACTGGAAAATGGGGTGAGAGAAGTGAGATCCAGGGTCATCAGATAGTTTGTGCATCCAGATGGATATATCCTGCAGTTGCTTCAACACACTCCTCGATTCTTTTGTGAATCGCCAATGTTCAGTCACAGCAGATACATAAAAGCGATGGCAAACCTAGACAGCATCTTAAAAAGCAGAGACATCACCTTGCCAATAAAGGTCTGTATAGTTAAAGCCATAGTTTCCCCAGTAGTGATGTATGGAAGTGAGAGCTGGACCATAAAGAAGGCCGATCGCCGAAGAATTGATGCTTTTGAATTATGGTGCTGGAGGAGACTCTTGAGAGCCCCATGGACTGCATGAAGATCAAACCTATCCATTCTGAAGGAAATCAGCCCTGAGTGCTCACTGGAAGGACAGATCCTGAAGCTGAGGCTCCAATACTTTGGCCACCTCATGAGAAGAGAAGACTCCCTGGAAAAGACCCTGATGTTGGGAAAGATGGAGGGCACAAGGAGAAGGGGACGACAGAGGACGAGATGGTTGGACAGTGTTCTCGAAACTACAAGCATGAGTTTGACCAAACTGCGGGAAGCAGTGGAAGACAGGAGTGCCTGGCGTGCTCTGGTCCATGGGATCACGAAGAGTCGGACACGACTAAACGACTAAACAACAACAACAACAGAATGCACAATGGCCACTTGGCAGAGGATCTTTCAGCCAACAAGTTTGTGGCCTGCCAGCTTCGCCATGCATAGTGAGTAAGCAACACCCCACTAAGGTGTCTAAAGTATTTAGGGAATATTGCACTACCATTTTTCATTTTTATTATTATTATTTTTTAAAAAGCAGGGATCTGTTTGCTGATATGGTTTTTCAATGGAACACAGAAAAATCTGTTGCGTTGTCAATTTTCGAAAGGTGTTTCTTCTGTGCTTATTGCCTCCAGCGAAATGTCACCTCCTTCTATCAGCCCACCATTTTTACAGTCGACACTGTGGTCTTTACAAACAGGATGTCTGACAAGCCTCTCCCATCAATGCTAGTTGCTACTGAATCAGCATCCAAATACTCAGACAAGCTGTCTGTATTGACATCTGCTCCTGATTCAGCATACGAATTATCCTCTAGGGTTGTGCCACCTTCAGCTGCTTCAGCACAGATTCCTCTTCATTATTCACCTACGCTGGCATTTCCTCCATTCTCAACGATGAACCTGCACCCCCCATCAACAACCGCTCCAGAACCAATATTCAAGCCAGCCCCTCAGGAACCCCATTAACAACACATGTCTTCAAGGGACAGAGAACCATCAGCGACAAAGAATGCTGATTCCACCCCCCTCCTTTTGCATAGGTATGAAGGTGCAGGGAAATTATCCTTCAGACAGGCAGAATAGTGATTGAAGGCAACGAGGGGGAAAGATATGAAGTTTAATTAGGCCCCTGACTCCAAACTGCAAAGGTGGTGAAAGGTGTGCGGATGTGTATGTTTGAGCAGAGGTGGGGATTTCTGTAAGAAGACCTAAAAGAGCATAAGTAAAGATCATAGCAAAACAGAAGATCTCAGAGGGAAAAGCGAGAGGGCAAAGAACTCCCATTGGTCATTAATGGATGGCTTGATATTTGCAGTTAGCTTAGCAAAATCAATCTTAAGGAGACTGGGAGGAACACAAAGAGTCTTCCTAAAGTCATACCGGTGGCATGCGCTCTCTCAACACTGCAAAACCTAGTCTTTCGTGTATTGACTATGAATGGCATGTTATGTGCTATTGGGTGCGGGGAGGTTGCTGCTGTTTAATAATTTGTGTTTTAAAATTGGTTCATGGTTGTTTTTTTCATATTTGCTTTTATATGGTGCTTTTGGCATATGCTTAAAACTCAAGCACTCCTGGGCCATTAATGGCGAATATTGGACCAGCACAGATCACCATCTACTGTGGATATTGTTAACAGATAATATTGTTGATCATACTTAGCGTATACTCACTGAAATCCATCAGACTTAAGTGACCCACTTGTCCCCTTGATTTCTTTGGATCAATTCTAAGCGTGACTAATTCTGCAATGCTAACCCTCACCCCATGCCACAGGGCTTGGCAAGGAAAACACTGCACCCAGAGTGGAAGGGCGGGGTGATTTGGCCTGATCCCTGTGCCAGGGATTGGGTCCATATCAGGCCTGATGTTGTCTCCTAACAGCAGTAATATCCTGGGCCAGCATATACACACCCCTTCCTGCCCTCAGAACACACATTTTGGGGGTTTTCTGCTGGAGGGGGTGTCATCAACCGGCCTCCCACACACACGCACAGTGGCTGGTGGCTTGCCTCTGCTCAGCCCAACCCTCCCAAAATTTGGTGTAAGGGTGTGGTTTAATTGTTCTGTCTGTCTGGATACAATTCACTGTTTGTTGTGGCATGTCTGGGTGATGCCTTTCACTGGTAGAATGATAATTACCCTGACAAATAACTCTTACACACACACACACACACACACACACACACACACACACACACACACATGGCCTGTCTTTTTCCTTCACCGTTAGTTCAAAAGCCCACCTGGATCTTTTGTCCTATCAACAGAAACAAAAGATACACCGTAAAGTTGGGGGCAGACCCTTCCTGCAATATCTATCGTACCGTGTTCCTGGCATAAAAATGAAATTGGATCATAATTCTCAGTAGCGCACTGCATACAGCAAAGCAAAATTTAGCTTTAATTTATTTATGTTACAGTAATTACAGCATGGATCTTCCTTGCAAAATTAAATTTAAGATTCACTCAGCACTGTATTAAACATGAACTAAGAATAAACTAAGAAGCTAACATAATATTAAACATAAAATTTATTTTTAGCGAACTGAGGGTAATTTTGGATACTGTGCTGTTATTAAAGGGGGGAAAAACAAGTGACATGTATTAGTACATATTGTGTTTTACATATATACAGGGCTTTTTTTCCAGCTGGACCTCGCTGGAACTCAGTTCCGGCATCTCTCAGGTGGGCACCATTGCCATTCCAAGAGAACGAGGGAGGTGTTCATGGTGAGGTCCAGCATCTCTTTCCCCCCAAAAATAGCACTGCATTTATAGCCATGGAGAAAGTGCCTTATGCTAGCCAGACTGTGATTCTAGCTCAGTACTGGGCTCATCCCTTGCCCTGTTGCTTTTCCCTGGAAAAACTCAATCTTTACTGCTGAATCAGAGCAAATATCAATTGGGTATTTTCCGGATTGACGTTTGCTCTGATTTGTCGCTAAACAGTGGGACAAGGGCAAAACTACTTGGACCCATGTTTTCTAGGCTCTCTAGGCACGAGACAAGCAGAATTGTGGATGATCCTATTGTCTACCATGACTATCAGAGACTCGCCAAGATTTGAAAGAGGGGTTTGCCTTGTTCTCCCTGAAGATTGAACATGGGGTCTTCTGTATGCAGAGCTGATGTTCTATCACTGAGCTCTTTATACATTATATCAGTATTTCCACATCTACATTAGCTCCCAATTGTCTTTTAGGCATAATTCAAGGTGTTTATTAAGACAGGGCAATATATCGATATATTGTCCCAAACCGGTTTGAATTCCATATCGTGATATCAGTTTCATAGTTTTTGACCTGGCAGTAAATTGCAAATCATGATTGTATGCTTGTGTGCAATGCAAAAATCACAGTGTGGGAAACACCATGAAGCCAGGCAATCCCCCTACATAGCTCCACCATTCTTTCAGACTGTAATATATCAATATATCGCGATGTTTAGCTGGTGATATATCGCAATGTTGAAAAGCGGATATCGCCCACCCCTAGTGCTGATTGC